CCCCAAAACCCCAAAACCCCAAAACCCCATACCTATTGAAGCTGAAAAATCTTAGTAATTAGATGCATAGATAAAATATAGAATTGGCAGTATGTATTACGTGTATCTATATATCATTTAATTTTGCTATTTAAACCTTTGACTAATTTAATTAAGAATTAATTTAGTTCGACAATGACAACAGAAACAATTGGTACAGAGCCTATAGACTTTTGGCTGCCGATATTGGCAGTATTTGCTTGCAATACGATTTTATTTTTCATCGCCTAATGTATTAAAGACAACTCAATTGTGGATACTGCATGGGGGTTAATTTTCATCGTTCCTAACTTGATCATCTTATGCATCAAGGGCAATTGGAATGAAAGAACAATTTTAACATTTGCTCTGATATCAATCTGGGGATTGAGACTAGCAGTTCATATAGGCATCAGACATCCTGGCAAGGAAGATTTTAGATACTAGGATATGAGGAAAGGATGGGTAGAGAAAGGATCTGGATACTACTATTTCGCTGCATTCACTTTTGTATTTATGATGCAGGCACTCTTCTCCTTGATCATCAACTCGTCTGCCTTGTTCATTAGTATTTGGAGTGGACCTGACTTTTTCCCTCTTGATGTGGTAGGGGCAGTAGTCTGGCTCTTTGGTTTTGTATTTGAGTTAACAGCTGATTGGTAATTGTAATAGTTCAGGAACAACCCTATCAATCGCGGTAAACTTATCAAGAATGGACTTTGGCGATACTCAAGGCATCCAAATTACTTTGGAGAAGCAGTTCTATGGTGGGGCATTTTCCTTATTGCTTGCTCAGTAGATTGGGGATATTTTACCTTCTTTTCTGCTCTCTTTATCACCTTGCTGGTTAGATTTGTTTCAGGAGTGCCTCTCCTTGAAAACAAGTATAAAGATAGACCAGAATTCCAAAGATATATGAAGGAGACTAATATTTTCGTGCCATGGTTCGTTAGGAAAGTTCCTGATGATGTAGTTGCTACAGAGAGCAACAGACAGTAATTTATGAATCCTTGAAATAGACAATTAAAGTTGGTACTTCTATCGAATATACTAATTATTGTAAAAGCTTCTAAATTGATATTCATGGGGTTTTGGGGTTTTGGGGTTTTGGGG